GTTGGCATAAAGGCATCTTATTGCATGCACCGCATTTACTTGGAGGATGATCACAAGCCGAGCATTGAGCACCAAAGACGCCTCAACCCGAACATGAAAGATGTTGTTAAAAAAGAAATTCTTAAACTATTGAGTTCGGGTATCATTTTCCCCATTTCGGACAGTAAATGGGTAAGTCCTATCCATGTGGTGCCAAAGAAAGGAGGAATTACTGTTGTAAAGAATGACAAAAACGAGCTGATTCCTACACGAATAGTCACTGGATGGCGCATGTGCATTGATTACCGCAAGCTAAACAAGGCTACTCGGAAAGATCATTTTCCACTTCCCTTTATTGATCAATTGCTGGAGAGGATGGCTAAACACAAATATTTCTGTTTCCTTGACGGATTCTCTGGATTTTTCCAAATCCCAATTCATTCGGATGATCAAGAAATGACGACATTTACATGTCCTTATGGTACTTTTGCATATCGCAGAATGCCGTTTGGATTATGTAATGCACCAGGAACCTTTCAAAGATGTATGCTAGCTATTTTCTCGGATCTTGTCGAGGAAATTATGGAAGTTTTTATGGATGATTTCTCGGTTTATGGGATTTCATTTGATGATTGTCTTGAACATCTTGATAAAGTGCTGAGCAAATGTGAAGAAGCAAATCTTGTCCTCAACTGGGAAAAATGTCATTTCATGGCAACCGAAGGCATTGTGCTTGGGCACAAAATTTCTGAAAAGGGCATTGAAGTAGACCCGGCAAAGATAGAAGTAATTGATAAATTGCCACCCCCTTCTTCCATCAAGGGGATTCGCAGTTTTCTTGGCCATGCGGGATTTTATCGACGGTTTATCAAGGATTTTTCAAAAATATCAAAGCCTTTAACCAATCTTCTCTCAAAAGATGTGGAGTTTAATTTTGATGAATCTTGCTGCGCCGCATTTTCAAAACTCAAGTTGGCCTTAACTACTGCACCAATTATTCGGCCACCTGATTGGAGTCTTCCTTTTGAACTCATGTGTGATGCAAGCGATTATGCCGTGGGAGCCATTCTGGGTCAACGCAAAGGCAAAGAAGTATATGCCATTTATTATGCAAGTCATACTCTTGATGATGCCCAATCAAATTATGCCACAACTGAAAAAGAGTTCCTTGCCATAATTTTTGCCATTGAAAAATTCCGATCTTACCTTATCGGTAGCAAGATTATTGTCTATACCGACCATGCGGCTATCAAATACCTCATCAACAAAAAAGATGCAAAACCGAGGTTGTTGCGGTGGATCTTGTTACTACAAGAGTTTGACATGGAAATCCGTGATAGAAAAGGATCTGAAAATGTTGTTGCCGATCATTTATCTCGACTTGAGATTCCTTGTGATACCAAGATGCCAATCAATGATTATTTCATTGGGGAACAACTTATGACTGCTCAAAATTTTGATCCATGGTTTGCCGATATTGCAAATTACCTTTCTCATGGGGTAATTCCACATGGTGCTACACATACTGAAAAGAAGAAGTTAAAATATGACTCCCGCTACTATCATTGGGCAGAACCTTTTCTCTATAGAAGGTGTGCCGATGGAGTCATTCGACGGTGTTTGCCCGAAGATGAAGTTTCAAATGTCTTGCACCATTGTCATTCCTCACCATATGGGGGACATCATGGAAGCTCTCGTACTGCTGCAAAGATTTTACAATCAGGTTTCTTTTGGCCCACTATTTTCAAAGATGCAAGCAAATTTGTGAAAAACTGTGATCGTTGCCAACGTACCGGCAATATTGGAAGAAAGAATGAAATGCCTCAACATGGCATACTTGAAGTCGAATTGTTTGACGTGTGGGGGCTCGATTTTATGGGGCCATTTCCAAAATCAAATGGGAAAGAGTTCATCCTTGTAGCTGTTGATTATGTTTCTAAATGGGTAGAAGCAGCTGCCACACAGACAAATGATGCCAAAGTGGTGATCCAATTCATTCAGAAAAATATTTTCTCCCGATTCGGAGTTCCACGATCTTTCATCACCGACAATGGTACTCATTTTTGTAACAAAGCATTGGAACGTGTCCTTTCCAAATATGGGATTCACCACCGACTCTCAACTCCATACCACCCGTAAACAAATGGCCAAGTGGAACTTTCAAACCGAGAAATCAAAACAATTCTCGAGAAAGTTGTTAATCCTTCCCGAAAGGATTGGGCCGAAAAGCTTGATGATGCACTATGGGCATATCGCACTGCTTACAAAAATCCCATCGGCACCTCACCATTCAAATTGGTGTATGGGAAAGCATGTCACCTTCCTGTTGAGGTTGAACACAAAGCATATTGGGCAATCAAGACACTCAACATGGATCTTGCATTGGCGGGTGAGAAACGACTGTTGCAGCTAAATGAACTTGAAGAATTCAGACTTGCAGCTTATGATAGCTCAAAACTCTACAAGGAGAGAACAAAAGTTTTGCATGACCGGGTGATCAGCCGAAGAAAATTTGAACGGGGAGATAAAGTTCTTCTATTTAACTCACGTTACAAATTCTTTCCCGGAAAGCTAAAGACCCGATGGTTGGGTCCATTTGAAGTACTTGAAGCATTTCCATCCGGAGCAGTCCAGTTGTTAAACAAAAGCGGCCAAAAACTCATGGTAAATGGACAACGGTTGAAACTATACCATGATGGTGAGAGACAAGAGGCAACTTCTGTGTATTGCCTCACTGATCCGAAATATGAATGAAGAGGCATGGGTCAAGCTAATGACCTTAAACGAGCGCTTCTTGGGAGGCAACCCAAGTTTGTAAATTTAAAAAAAAAACAAAAACAAAAAAACAAAAAAAAAGGCAAAAAAAAATGTCTAGGTTTTTGTTTTTGGACTCTAAAGGGGCCACATCCGCTCGAAAAGACATCTCAACATCATCCGTCCGCAATTCAGGGAAGTTTTCTTTACACTCCTTTAATTTATTTTCCACTGAGGACAGTGCAAATTTTAAGTGTGGGGGAGTGGGTAGTTCGACCCTAATTTCTTGTGTGAATATTTTTTCTTTTTCCTGGCTTGTTTGTGTGATTTTATTTTCTTTTATTTTTATTTTGTGTGTTTGTTTAGAAAAGTAAAGACCAGTCTTGTCCAAAATACAACAATAGACAAACAACACATTAGTTTACACTTTTTGTTACTAGTTACTTCCATAACTTTTTAAAACTATTCATTCACCTCTTTTGACGAAATGTGGTTTGAGTTTGAGAAGTGTCACTATAATTTTTTGAGAGTAACTTAGTATTAGCTTTGAATTTGATTCTTTTTAACACTTTAACATTAAACACCTTAGATTTTATTTTTCCAATTTATTGGTTAATAGTTGAATTAGTGAAAGTTTATGCAGATTAAGATGTTCATACATTTATTCTCCTTGAAATTTTATTTGAACTTGACACATTTAGAAATGATTTAGGCCATCTTTGTTTACCCATGAAGCCAAACACTATCCCTTTGTAAATAAATAACACTTTCCCTAGTAACCTCGTTTCACCCTTTCAGTGTACAAGTGTAAAATATCTTACTTCACTTGTTACTAATTCTTTTTTTTGTAACCTTGTAAATACATAACCTTCTGAAGCCCTATCCAAAGTTAATCTTTTCTAATCCTAGAGTGGATTGTCTTGTTACTTGTGAGCGAATAAATGGAGCTACTATTAAGTGTCATATGAGTGAAGTACATATTTGTTTGTAAATTTTGGGGTTAGTTTTTCATTGTAATGTTCAGTGTGTGTCCTCTTTGAAAAAAAAATCAAAAAAAAAAAGAAAGAAAAAAAAAGAGAAGAAAAATTGAAAAAAAAAACAAAAAAAAACAAAAAAAAAACAAAGAGGCACATTAATTTCTTGTTATAAGTTCTTTTGTAAAACCCCATTTTTTTTTTACTTTTCACGTTTATATTTCTCATTGTTTTGTATGCTCCAAGTTTTTGTAAATTCTTGTGATGATCCGCTCACTATTAGTACAATCTAACTCTCTCTGTATATTCTTACACCAAACTTTCCTTCCAACTAGCCACACTCATTAATCTCGCCACTCACCGAAAAAAGTCCTAATTGATCTATTTGTGTCATTTTTTGAATTTAGCGGATTGGAGAAACTTGTTCTACATAACCCGAACTAATTTAGATCTATAGGTGTTTGTGTTAAAAGTTTGATTTGAAAATCTTAGTGATAGGCAATAATACTCGGTTTACTCTCAATGCGTTATTTTGTGACATTTCAGGGTATTGGACCGTTTAGTGGACATTAGAGGTGGATATGTGATTTATTTAGTTATGTTTGTAAATCTTATCAAATTGTGTATATTTTTGTGTTTGTTGTACTTGAGGACAAGCAAAAGCCTAAGTGTGGGGGATTTGATGTACTTGTATTTTACACACTTTTTAGGCTTAGTTTGTTGTTAATTTTAGTTATTAAAATTCTACTTTTGTACATATTTTTATAATTTGTCGTTAGTTTGTACTTGTGCAGTCCTACACGGGTATTTTGTATTTTCAGGTACTTTTGATGCTATTTGGATACATTAGAGTGAACAAAAGAAGAAAATAAAAAGTTCAAGTTGGAGGTCAATAAAAGTGGAATTTCCTTCAAAACAAATAAGGAGTAAATTGAAGAAAAGAAGCAAAAATAAAAATGGTGGGGCTGGGATTCGATCACTGGAGAAAGGGTAGAAGAATACCTACTACAACCAATGTGCTAAGTGATCAATGTTGTACATATTCAGCTGGCAATTGTTATATTCCTTCTGAACGCGGCAAAGAAAAGAACAAAATGTTGAAGCCGAGAATCGATCCCACGATCTCCGAATTTTCCCCTGAAGTGTTTATCCGTTGAGCTACCTGCCACTGTTGAAACTTTACTGCGCTTTGTTGTACATAAACTCATCTGTTCCGTAAATCCCAGCAATTAATGATTAATCACCTTATCATTATATTGCCTTAATCCATCTTCCTCCACAGATAAGCTCGGACCAACCTCTCTCTAAACATCCCAGAAACATTTCCTCCTCCTTCTCTCTTCATTTCTCAACCCCAAATCATCAACCCATCTTCAACCATAACTAATCACTTTCTCATCCAAGATTAAGTCAAGATTAGCATCAAAGCTCCAAGGATTGTCATCAATCACAAGTTTGATCTTCCTTATCTCATTAAATCTTGTACTTTAATCATGGATTCATCTATTTCTATGTTTCCCAACATGTATAGCTAAATAAATTTGGGGCTAGAAATTGGTTAATTAATTGTTCTTATAATGTTTTAATTTGTATTGATTTTAATTGTTAAGTTTATTCTATTTAGATTGTTGTGTCCAGAAACTTAATTATGTTGTGTTTATGATATATATTATGAGTACTCAATCATAAACATATTGTTTGTTAAATACACAAATGAACACTTTCTGAACACACCGTTAAACTTCTTTTACCTTGTCCCGGATTGAAGTTTTACGGGAGAATTTAATTATTTAATTATATTATTTACACCACGGGGTTGGGTAAATAATATAGTTAATAATTAAGGTTGTCGTTGCACTTAAACAACTAGTCTCGTTTTGGCCATCACTGGGAAATGTTGACTAGTTACTTATTTTAGGTGACTTGTGTTGGGTCCTAAAATATTTATCTACAACTTCTCACAATCTATCTAAGAATAAAATTAGCAATTATGTCTTACAAATGAGCATTGAACAATTAGTTGCCAATTTCTACCCCTACTTGCTATTGGTTGAACTTTGTGTTGAGAAAAGTCTCTTCTCTCAATCACTTTTATTTAATTACTTTTCCAAGTAAACAAAAATCAAAAGAAACGCATTCCCAACTTTAATCCTTAGTTTGTGCTTAATTATTTTATTTCCCGCTTCTCTGTGGTTCGACACCCTACTTCCTTGGGTAAAAAAAAATAGTTGTGTGCCCATTATATGCTACACACCATGTTTATTCAGCAATGTAGAGGAGAGCGTAGATAAAATCTATTGAGTTACTCCTCTTTTGTCTTGATCTTTAGTGCAGCTCAGCTTCCTTTGTTTTCGTGTTGATTTCTTGAGAAGGCTTTATGAAGAAATCCTTGCAATCTCTCCTTTGATGTCTTCTTTTCAATTTGATCTTTGATGCCGGTAGTTGAGGAATCTTTTGCTTGTAATCCTTGCCTTCCACAAGTAGCTCTTTATCAGCTTGAATGAAGTCCGAAGGCGCCTTTAGAATGAATGTTCTGATAATTTTCAGGCGTGCACGGGATTCATTTTCAGTACACGAGTATCTGACCTCTGTCTCCTCCACAATGTAGTTTTTTTGACTATTTAAAGTGAATGCGTTTGAGGAGACCTTGTCGATGGCACAACGGAAAATGATGGTTGACTTGTGAGCATAGTTGTCCATTTGATTTGAAGCTTTTGATAGAGATAATAGAGAAAGTGTTGGAGGAGAGAAGTGTTCGAGAATGATTTGTTGAGAGTTAACAGCATGTGGACCACTCTCCCTCTCATGACGATCCGATGAATCGGGGCGTCATGCCTTTATTCTTTTATTCTGGGAAACAAAACAGAAACACAAACAGAAAGGTAAAATGATAAAAATCGGATACACTGAGGTGTTCCGTTATCACAACATCAATGTAACACTGATGTGTGGCCTGTAAAATTAATGATAGAAGCAATAAAGCTCTAACAGGACTTCCAACCAGTCATTGTGAAGCATCTAAAGTAGATGTCACTCTGGTTGTTATGGCATGATCATAAAGATCAACAAAGATAACGTAGCCCCCGGGGTTGTGTAGACGCCCGTTATCATCACTATAGAGATAAACTCAGAAGCGATGGCCTGAAAATGTTGGTGATTTATGTGTTGCAACAGTAGGACTTCCTTCCAATCATTGGTCTTCATCTATAGTAGATGAGCCCTATGGAAGTTCTCGCGGGTCATGAAGGCCTGCAACTGACTCTAAAAAATGTCTGTGTCCTAGAAAATTCAAAACATTTGGGAGTGAGATTACTAGACACGACGTGATCAATGAATGTTGAGTGGTGTGGGACTGTGGGCCACTGTAGTCAGTATCAGTCGCCTCAGAAGGAGACGGTGATAAGAGATGAGGTTCCCCGTGAAATATGATTAAACACATGCCTGTTATGAGACAGGTGAGTGGTCTTGGGTAGAGTTGTGCATGCGTCGTTTGGACAAAATGCAGCGACTGCTACCCGGGATCTCAATAAATTCAGTTATGAACCTATGAGAATTGTCCAGAGTATTTGAGTGACTGGGACTACTTTTCTCGATTGATAGCGCAATTGAGGTAGCAGACTTGTCATTGATTATTTTTCTCCTGCTCACAGGAGCCTTCTGATTCATCACTATCATAGTGTTCACTCAGTTACTCACTCACTCTCGACTTTGTCCCTTGGGTAGGCTTAGTTGGGTTTAATAAGCCATTGAGACTTATCTCTCATTTCTCTTTGCTCTTTTCTCTTCGTGCTCCCCCTAAACTAGAGCATTCAGTAGGATGCATTCAACAATGTTTGGCACTTAGGAGGAGAACTTTAAACTCTCCCTCAAAATCTGCATCCTTGAGAGAATCCTTGCATGGTAAATTGCCTCGCACCAGGAGGAGAAAAATGAAACTCCCCCTCAAAAGTTACAACACATGACGGACCTGCAAGCCAACTTAAATATGTTTCGGCACCCACCTCCAGATGGGTCCTTCCTTGTCACCACAGAAAACCTATTTCAGTTTCTATTTGATTTGTGATCCCAGGCTAGCTGGTTGAGAAGAATTTGACATTCTGATTTTCTCAACTTCAGCCTTAGGAACCCATTGTTGCTTGAACTTTGGAGGAGAAGAAGTTTCACAAGCAATGACTGAATGTTCAGACAAATAATCTTTTAAAATTGTTTCTTGAGAGAGTCTTCTCAAATGTCTGAGTGAGTAAACTTTGAGGGGATACTTCAAATATGGTAATTGATACTCCCCCTTGATGTGAGTTTTCTCGCACTTAAAAAGATCGTAATATAGCGGTGAAAGTACGAGTATCGTCTCCACAGGGACGGTAAAAGGGAATTAAGAATTAACTAAAAATCAGCGATAAAGAATAAATAAAACAAACGCGGTCGTGCGAGATTTGGTTGCTTGAGAAAACTAAAATTGCAAATAAATGACTAAAAGTAAATAATTGAGTTCTTCTTAATTAACAACGAAGGGAACAGGGATTGATTCCGGGGTAATCAGATTTCTGGTAGATCAGGCTTAATTACATGAATTTAATTTAATTGAGCCTAGCTAATCAATACTAAGTTCTTACCGCTCTCGCGGCGTAGAATACAATAATTTAGGGGACCAGGCTGATCTCTCATGCGACAGGATCCTAAATTATTGCCACGACGAACAAGCTTACGGACCCTTAATCGTTACTAATCTCTTAGCGAACGATTAAGTGTGTGTGAATGTGTCCTAGAACAAATTAGATCTCTCTTAATTCATTCTACATGCGATTGTAATTCTAGTGGCCATCTAGGTTACAAAAGATATCAATTAAATTATTCAAACACAAATTAAACGGCATTCATGCAATTTACACCATCAAGAACCTAACCATACATCGTGATTAACCCCTTCATCAATCCCAAATCCCTAATTAAACTCCTCACAATTCATAATTGAAGAATCAACAGAATTAGGAAGAATAGAATAAATTGTCATTAATTAAAAAGATGAACTTACAAATAATCCCAGGATCTTGGAAGAAAATAGTGTAAAACCGGTGTTAAATTCGTCCCTAGGCCTCTCCGTAATGTTCGCCCCCCTAAAAAGGGTTAGGGAGGCCTTGTTTATAGAAAAGAGGGGAAAAATCACAATTCTAGTCGATGTGGGAAATTTCCGCGCGTAACTCGGGGCTACGCACGATCGTGCGTCCCTGGCTACGCACAATCGTGCGTAGCAGGCAGTAGCTCCTCCACGGTTTTGGCTCTTACGCACGATCGTGCGTCCCAGACGCACGGTCGTGCGTCCCAGACGCACGGTTGTGCGTCAGTGTTCTTCATCCTTTTGTCTAGTCCGAATTTGACAAAACTTCCTTCATGAAAGTTTTAGATAATGAAGTTCTCTATCTACCACCAACTTGCCGAATGTGATTTGAATCATCCCATCAAGAGATATGATCAAAACGGTGGAAGGTGTCATTCTGAAATCGCAGCAGAGATCATCTGATTTTGTCATCTGTTTTCACCTTCTTGCTCTCCTATTCTCGTAATGGTGTCTTCATATGATTTGTAGCCCTTGAAGTTTTCTTTCATATACAACTTGAATCATGTCCATAAGTTGTTTCTACAAAGATATATTCTTGAATGATTGACAGAAGGTCATCCTGATCGTCGTTTTCAAGCTTCATTCATCTTCTTTTGATCCTGAAGCCAATCCTAGAGCTATTTTGCCATCAAATCTTCATCGTAAACCTCCCGCTGACCTCCATAGCTCTCAAATCAATCTCAAATGCTTTTCAACTCATCCCGATTTCTCCTCAAGCGCCAGTGCCGAACTCTAAAATCCTGATTTTGACTCCAAATGACACAAAACTCGAACCAACGCCCGGTAAACATAACTTGAGCTAAAATTGAGACTTGTAACACCTTAAAGCTAGGGAAAACCATCAAACCCGATCCCAACACGCATCAAATGCATGTCTAAATACGGACTTATCAGATTCCCCCACACTTAAGCTTTTGCTTGTCCTCAAGCAAACTGAACAATGGGGCTTACGATAATCACCACACGGAATCAAAACAATTAGCATGCACATGTAGCTAAAGAGGTATTCACAGAACATACAAACTAAACCAAGAATATTCTTCCCTAAACTACATCTTTGTACTCTAGCTAAAATATTTGACAAAGTTATTCACAACATCCTTAAAGTAATGACAGCATACACAAATAAACTAGCTATTGATCAGAAGGACTTGTGAAGGTAATGGTGAACGGTGATAAGCAGCCCCTTTCTTTTGAGAGATTGGAATATTCTAACAAAGACTCAATGCATTCAAGAACTTCAGGGCTATTCTTAGGATCAAGGAACTCAGTGGTCCACAATTTAGGAACAATCATGTAAACCTATGCAAAGAGTAGACATGATGTACAACTAAGCTAAACCGTCTCGGCACATTGGTGCTTTGACGTATACTTGAAGTACGCGGAGGACTAAAGCTAATTTTGCTAAAGCCTCCAAGTTCATTAAATAAGTTTATTTTTCCTTTTCATGTTGGCACGAGAACGCCATTTCTTTCGAAAGATACCCAAGTCTCATCTTATTGTGCGAACACTTACGCTTTTTGACCGGGGCTCCCATTCTCTTTTTCGCAAGGTAAGAGGTATAGCTATATTAATTTTCACCTTTCGGATTCTCACTAGACATTACCCCATTCTAATCTCAGCCTCACCAAGGAAAAAATAGCAATTAAAGTTCATTAATTCAAAGTGAATCCATGTCTACAATGCAATCCTCGAAAATATCAAATTCCTAAAAAGTGACTGCTCTTACCCCATTTTGAGGCATAAGAACAGTGCCAAAAATGGCTCCTACACAAATTCCCTAAATTTAACAAATTAATCCCATAGTTCCCTAAATGCCAAGGCTAAGTCAGAAATATTCATGGGTAAGGAACACAGGCCATTTGGTTATGGAGCTCAATTGATTGGGTATGGAACAAAATGGTCAGGCTCAAAGTGGCTTTTCCTAAAGAACTTTTTCAGGTGAGATGGAAAAATTATGAATTAAATGGGTGACTAATGCCTTCATCCTTTCAACAATTAGATTATATTGCAAGCAATTTAAGCCTAAACACTTCAAGGGTGTCCTAAAAGCACAGTCAATCGTTAGCCCGCTCACAAAGACACAGTTTAAAGAAAAATTTTCAAAAATTTTGACATGAATTTCCTATGAATATACAACTAACACATGCGCATGCTAACTCTAATAATCACATGTAACAACTACTGCCCGGATGCCCAATTCACTCTCCCACACTTGAACTTTGGCATCGCCCTCGATGACCAAATATGCACTATGCACAAGGGGGTAAAGGAAAAGGGTCACGCGTGCTCAAAATCATCTCAAGTCATTTTATTAAAACAGGCGAGTAAGAGTCTTAGGAACTTCCCAAAGGCGTTGGTCGGTGTATAACTAAATTGAGTAAAGTGGTCCTCGACACATCATCCCCAAATCAAGACCCTGACCTGCAAAAACAAAACACACAAAAACACACAAAAACAAAGAAAAATGCAAAAACAAAAGTGCAGAAATAAGCTTGGGTTGCCTCCCAAGAAACACTATTTTTAACGTCGTGTGCCCGACGATACCTCATAAGCTCTCAAATAACAAAGACTGAAGTGGTGCACTAATAATTAATGTCTCCAGCTTCCTCTCAACAAATGCCATTAGGTTGCGCATATCCTTTAACTCTTGGAACCACGAAGGAATCACATGGTCTTCAAAAACCGTATCAGCACAGAACTGAAGGATCAACCTCACATCCTCCTTGAATGGACATATGGCATGAGTCAAAACTTTGATTACTCCAGGCATCAGTGGAAGCTCAAAAGATATTTCGAAGCAAGGATCTGAAGCAACATCAAACTCGAACTGCAGCATGGAAAAGTATTTTTCTTCCTCACAAATATATTGAAAATTCACAACATCTCCTCTGGACTCTGTATCACTCCCCATGTGCGTATCCCAACTCTCGGTAATACCGTTCTCATGAATGTCTTCTTGGACGATGTTGTCACTTTCCACACAAAAAGGAATATCATCCTCAAGGAGTGAATCAAAGAAATCCAAACCTGGACTAACGTAAGAGGAGTAATCTTGTATGTGGAGCGGGACTTCTTCGTCATGGAGATCATCTACCGTGCTATCACTCTCTTGGAGCTCGTGATTCTCTTTTCCCAACTCATCTTCAATACCCAAACCTACCTTAGTAGCACCATCATCATGACTGATTTTCTCCTTGCCCTCCTCAGGTGTTGAGACTAATGGTAAATCAAACGACTGGTGAGTTTCTCTATGAAAATCACAGTGATTTGTGACTTCATCCGTTCCATCTTGTGTAACACCGCCCCCGAGTATTTGTATTGTACCAAATTATGTATTGAACCTTGAGAAATGTATAAAAGCATTTTTACGTGATTGTAAATTTTTATCATTTCTATTACGTGAATAGTAAAATTCACGTGGGGCCCACACCGGATGTGGGATCGGCCGATATTATCGGGACCACATATTATATTAATCTTGGACTAGATAATATGCATATGGTGGTGGATATCCAAATTGGGCCATGACAATGGCACAAGGTTGACCGGTTGGTCAAACGGGCCAAATTATCGGTATCGGGAAATTTATCAGATAACAGCCCAGGAAGGGATTTCGGAGACTTCTAAATTAAAGTTGGGGAATGCATATTGATTCTAAGGTCCAATAAGGATGGGGAACAAGTGTTATATTTTATTTGACCCGATAAAATAAAATATACTTAAAACAGTCCGGAAAATACAACTTTCGGGGCCGATTGTACACCCCGGGACACAAAGGGTTGACCTCCCACATGAGTGGGGGCCAACCCACGTTTTTAGGCTTTCAAATGAAGGAGGGAGCCTCATTATGGAGCTGGAATTGGTTGGGAAGTGATTGGGGGACAAATATGTAAGTTGAGGGGACCCTCCCCCCATATTATTTGGGGAATAAGCCAAAAGGGCTATCTCCCTCACCCCACAACTGATACATCTCGGCCACCCTACTCAAAGAGGAGAAAGAAGGTCTTCAAACTTCATTGTTATCATCCATACACGCACCAAGAACAAAGGAGGAAGAAGGAGGGGAAAAGAGAAGAGAAAAGTTGGTTTTGGAGAGGAAAACTTGTGTTTAGCAAGGTAAGGACTCCATTAATCCCATTTCTTGTTCTTCAATACTCTTTTATGATGAGTCAATCATATTTCACACCCTAGTAATGTTCTACACGTTGGGATGTGTAGAAAGAGGGGTTGGAAGGTGGTTCTAAGCCCGAGAATGGACTTAAAAGCCAAAGTAACCGGTTCGCCGGAAAATAACCTTTTGGAGGTTATTTGTATTACTATGGGTTTTGTGATGATAAAACCTTGTTAGTAACTTGCCTAAGGTATTCAAGGAATTTTCACGGAGTTGAAAGGGTCGCCGGAGCTGTCGCCGGAGTTCGTTGAAGTTCGCCGGAGTTTCGCCGGAGCTAAATCGGGAAGGCTAGAACTTCATAAGCTTCATTAAGGTGAGAAGACGGCTTTATGCTTTATAACTTTTGCGTGAGGCATGAGATTACCTAAAGTAATCAAGAATATGTTTTGTGGAATGATTAAAGATAACCAAGTGTTTGCTTATGCCATGATTATACATAAAACATAGTTGAAAAGCATGTTATGTAGGTTTGGTGATAAAAAATGTGATAACTTCTTATGTGTGATGTTCCAGGGATCCAAAATGGTATTTTTGGATCAAGGACGTCAAGAAGAATAAGTGTATAAAATTTCACGTTAATCGGACTTCGTTTGGGCGGTCAAACGAGCGTTGACCGCCAAGTCAAAGGTAATACCCGACCGGGTATGGGTGAATACCCGACCGGGTTTGGATTAAAAATGGCTCCAGAAGCCACTGCCACACTAGACCCGACCGGGTATGGGTGTAGACCCGACCGGGTCTCAAGTAAAGTTGGCTCCAGGGGCTACTGCCTCACCCTACCCGACCGGGTAAGGTTGGATACCCGACCGGGTATTGGTTTATACTCAAAACGGGCAGTTTTGAGTAGGTTAACGTGGGTCGTTCGGGTGGGACCCGCCCACGTTGGATCTGAAGGATTGTTATATGACTATAGGGCTAGGCATTGTCCATAGTTAAAGGAATGAAAGGTTAGCCATATCCAGGTTAGGATTTGGTAGAGAATAGACTGAGGATTGAGTGCCCTTGGACGGTAAATGATCCAGAATACTCCAGGTGGGGTCGAGTACCCTTGGACGGTAAATGATCCAGAATACTCCAGGTGGGGTCGAGTACCCTTGGACGGTAAATGATCCAGAATACTCCAGGTGGGGTCGAGTACCCTTGGACGGTAAATGATCCAGAATACTCCAGGTGGGGCCGAGTACCCTTGGGCGGTAAATGATCTTAAATACTCCAGGATGGGTTGAGTGCCTTGGATGGTAAATGATCCTAAAACACTCGGTAGTATGAATCGAAGGTAGACTATAGCTTGTGAGCTAGGTAACCGGGAAAGGAGTGAGAAAAGTCAGGTAAGAACTTTATCTCTAAAAGACTCTTTAAGGTAAATGACCTACAGGTTGAGTATTTTACGAGTATATATACAGTATGTATCATCGGGTGGATGAGAGACATCTATATATATGTATCACCCTAATTTTGGGTCTCGTGTCTGAAACATTAGTTATTCTTCATATAACCTGCTTGTCACTAGTACTTCTATGGAGTACTGACCCCTCCGGGGGACCTCACATTTTTCAGGTTGAGGCTAGAGGCCTACTACCTGCACCTTTGCCTAGGGTGATTGATCGAGAAGGAAGACGTGGTTCGTGCTTCCATTCTTATTTCAAATGTATAAACTGCTCATGGATTTTTTGAACAATGTTTTCATTAAAACAGTTGGGGGCCTGCGTGCCCGTGTTTGCCACGTGTGGCTAAGTATCAAACATATTATTATATCCGCATTTGTTTGATTATGATATTGATGTTGATTGTATGTGTTTACTAATCGGTTTGGCAATAGAATCAATCGGACGCCTTGTACAATTCAATAGGGATGAACTGTTGTTGTTCTTGTCGGGTTGTACGGCGGTTGTCTACGTGGCTCGGATGTGGTCCGGGGCGTGACAATTAAGTGGTATCAGAGCCATCGATTTCTAAACTATATAATTAACCTCTCAATATGGTTATCCTCAAAAAAAAAGTTTTGAATAAAACCATGAGCAAAAGTTTTGTACTTAAGGAACCGTTGGAAACCAAGTTATTGACCTCTTATTATTAAGACGGTACCCTTAACAGTTTGTTGGCCATAATGTTGGACCAAGTGGTGTCTTTTGTACTAATCCGTCAATTGAAATTGAAACGGGTCTAATGACTCATTCCTTATTTCTTTCAGAAATGGAGGGTGGACGCTGGATTATTAGGAGGAACCCGACAGGGCATGTGCCGGGGGCCACCGGGCATGCCACTCGGGCGGAATCACGGACCTCTAGGGGTAGAGGCCGGGGCCAAAGCCGAGGAGGAGGCCGAGGCAGGAGTCGTGGGCGTTCTACAACGCCGACGGCAAGTAGCACGCGTGTCGGTTCTGTTCACCCATCTAGGGCCACCGAACCGGACGATTTCACATATGCTCCAAGCACGGAGCAAGAGGAGACCCCGAACAACGGGGAGGACTTTGAGGAAGAAGAGGAGGATGATGATCCTCATTATGACCGTATGAGTGAGGTACTAGAATGGTACCTTGAGAATAAAGCAAAGAGAGAGCAGCGGCGCCAAGCTAGACAGGCTAGGCAAACCATGGGGCAGGGAAGCCGAGGTGCTTCTAGTGCTCCATCGGGAGCATTTGGGGGAGACACGATGGTGCGTATCTCCAAGTACCTCAAGGAGGCCAGGGCCTTGGGGTGCAAATCATTTGATGGCAAGGGCGACATATCTGAGGCCTCCGACTGGATTAAGAAGCTGAATGATGCTTCTAGGGACATGCAAATTGCACTCGACGTGAAGTTGAGGGTTGCCACCAGGCTACTAGAAGGGGTAGCTGCTGTATGGTGGGAAGGCGTGGAGGGAAAGTTCCACGGTGAGGCCACTTGGGAGAAATTCGAAGTGGAGTTCTATAATCAGTACTACTCAACTTTTGAAGTCAATCTCAAAAGAAGAGAGTACACGAACCTGAAACAGGAGGATGGTTGCTCGGTGAGGCAATTGGAACAAAGGTTCCGTGACTTGGCCCGATTCATCCCCGAATACTCTTTGGATGAAAATCGTATGGCCAATCATTTTTGGGATGCTCTACAGTTGGACATCCGTGACCGGGTCACGTATCATCATAACATGACATTTAGCCAGATCGTTGATCAAGGGCTCCTTGGGGAAGCCCAATGGAACGAGAGGAAGTTGAGGGACGCCGAGGAGGCGAAGAAGAGAAGATGGGGAAACTCTGGACCCCAAGACCACTCCCGGAAGCATCACGCTGGGAGTGGCAATTCATTCAGGGCGCCGACACCACCAGTGAAAAGGAATAAAGGCTCAGGAGGGCAAGGGGCCAAACCAGGGAGTACGTGGTCACCGAGGTGCGCGAATTGCGGCAAGAACCATGCGGGGAAGTGCAATGAACCACCCCGGTGTTACAAATGTGGTAGCACGAGTCACCTGAAATCCTCTTGCCCAATGTTGAATGGAGGCGGTCCATCGGGGGCCATTGAAGGACCTACGGCTAGTAGGGGACGTGCGGGACCGCCTCAGGCCGGCACCGGAAGGGGCGGACCCACGGCTAGCAATGTCGCGTCTGTTAACCAAGGCAGAACCCAGGCACGAGTGTATGCAATGACCGAGGAGGATGCGCGAGCAAACCCGGACTCCGTTGCAGGTAATACACTAAACCTTGTATGTTTCTAGGCTGGTATTAAAGTTATTATCCCTAGGGGTCAGTTGCGAGCAGACTTAGAGTCGAATCGGGGAAACTAAACGCAAATAAGCTAATACCCGACCGGGTATGGTAGCTCACTCGACCGGGTGTGCTGGGATTTTGGCCTGGTAAACACACTGGAACAGATACCCGGCCGGGTATGGTAGCTCACCCGACCGGGTATGCTGGGATTTTGGCCTGGTAAACGCACTGGATTGGACACCCGACCGGGTCTAGTAGGTTACCCAACCGGGTATGCCAAATTCTGGTACCCATCAGCCTTACCAGACCGGGTAGAGCAAGATAATTGCTTCTGGATTGGATACCCGACCGGGTATAGGGATGTACCCAACCGGGTATAGGGTATCCCTCGGCTGAAAAAATTTTTTTGCTCGGTCCTTTTCAGTCGGGATGTTGAATAGGGTGTCTTACATGACTTATATATGTAGGAACACTAAAGATCAACGATAGAGATGCGAGAGTTCTCATCGATATCGGGGCACAACGTTCATTCGTGAGCGAAGCGTTTGCCAAGGGATTGAACATGCCATTGGTAGCAATGATGCAACCGTTGCTGGTCTCTACACCATTGGGAGATGATGTAGAGCGGAAACACTACTATCCCTCGTGTAATGTAGGGATAGGGGAGCACTGTCTAACGGGTGACTTTGTGCCGTTAGATATGCTCGGGTTTGACGCTATACTGGGCATGGATTGGCTCGAAAAGCACCATGCGAGAGTAGATTGCTACACCAAGGTGTTAGAACTAAAAGATGGAGAAGGAAATACTCTATGCTTCGAGGGAGATAGAGGGAAATTCAATCCTTGTATCATATCGGCCATAAGAGCAAGGCGTATGATGAGGAGAGGGTGTCAAGCGTACTTTGCCTATGTCATAGGCAAGGAAGGCAAGGGAAAGAGTCTCACTGAGGTGAGAGTGGTGAGTGAGTACCCAGAAGTTTTCCCTGAAGAACTCCCGGGACTCCCACCAGATCGAGAAATTGAGTTCACTATTGAAGTAGAACCCGGTACGAAACCCATCTCGATTCCTCCATATCGGATGGCACCGGCTGAACTTCAAGAGTTGAAGGTGCAATTGGAAGAATTACTGGACAGCGGATTCATCAGGCCGAGTCATTCACCGTGAGGAGCACCGGTACTCTTTGTAATGAAGAAAGATGGTACACTTAGAATGTGTATCGATTACCGTCAGTTGAACAAGGTCACGATAAAGAATAAATACCCTTTGCCAAGGATCGATGACTTGTTTGATCAACTACGGGGGGCAACCGTGTTCTCTAAGATTGACTTGAGGTCAGGCTACCATCAACTGAAGATCAAGGAGAGTGACATACCCAAAAGTGCATTCCGTACAAGGTATGGTCACTATGAGTTTCTAGTGACGTCGTTCGGGCTTACGAACGCCCCCGCGGCATTCATGGACCTCATGAACCGATTATTTCATCAATACTTAGACCAGTTCGTCATAGTGTTCATTGATGACATTTTGATATACTCCATGAATGAAGAGGAACACGAAAAACATCTAAGGCTTGTGCTTGAAACACTGCGGGAGAAGCAACTCTTTGCCAAATTCTCTAAATGTGAATTTTGGCTTGGGGAGATCGGTTTTCTCGGGCATGTGGTATCGGGCTCGGGCATTTCAGTTGATAACTCAAAGATTGAGGCGGTCACTAACTGGGAGAGGCCCAAGAACGTGAAGGAGATAAGGAGTTTCCTCGGTTTAGCGGGGTATTACCGTAAATTCGTGGAAAAGTTCTCGGTGATAGCATCTCCACTCACGAAGCTCACTAAAAAGGGGGCTAAGTTTGTGTGGGATGACAAGTGTGAGAAGGGGTTTCTTGAGCTAAAGAAACGTTTAACCGAAGCACCAGTGCTTGCCTTGCCCGTGCAAGGGTTAGGGTATGACATCTATAGCGATGCTAGTATTCAGGGACTGGGATGTGTACTGATGCAATCAGGGAAGGTAGTTGCTTATGCTTCTCGGCAGTTGAGGAAGCATGAAGTAAACTACCCCACACATGATCTGGAGCTAGGTGCTGTGGTATTTGCATTGAAGATTTGGAGGCACTACCTCTACGGAGAGTTGTGTCACATTTACACCGACCACAAGAGTCTGAAGTATGTGTTCACTCAGAAAGAGTTGAACATGAGACAGAGAATATGGATGGAGTTGATCAAGGATTACAACTTGGTCATTGACTATCATCTAGGCAAGGCTAATGTAGTAGCCGATGCATTGAGCAGGAAGAGCTCATCATCGGGGGTTTTACTCACATGCTTACGGGCACTGAGGGCACGCGTGGACGTATCCACGGATGGGGCGCTATTGGCCAGATTTGAGGTGAGACCCACCTTGTTAGATGAAATCAGAACATGTCAAGGCAATGACGGGGAATGTCAGAAAATCCGGGAATGGATGCTTGTGGGGCCCGTCGAGGGTTTCCGTGAGAGAGAAGATGGACTTCTACTATTCAAGGAACGAGTGTGTGTGCCATCGGATGAGGAGCTCCGAAAGTCTATCCTTGAGGAGGCTCACTCATCTGCGTATGCCATGCACCCGGGCGGTACAAAGATGTACCGGGACTTGAAAGAAAGTTACTAGTGATCGGGGATGAAGAGAGAGATTGCAGAATACGTGAGCCGTTGCCTTACTTGTCAACAGGTTAAGGCAGAGCACCAACACCCAGCAGAGTTACTACAACCACTTACCATTCCAGAATGGAAGTGGGAGCATGTTACCATGGACTTCGTGGTGGGTCTACCACGGACAGTTAGGAACTACGACACAGTATGGGTGGTAGTCGATAGGTTGACCAAGAGCGCTCATTTCCTACCTATCAACACTACCTATACGCTCGAGCGGTTGGCCAAATTGTACACAGATGAGATTGTGAGACTGCATGGGGTTCCGGTTACTATAGTATCAGATAGAGACCCACGGTTCACATCACGGTTTTGGCCTAAGTTCCAGGAATCCATGGGTACGAAATTGAGGTTTAGCACCGCGTTTCATCCTCAAACGGATGGGCAATCTGAACGGGTGATTCAGATCTTGGAGGACATGTTGAGGGCATGTGCCTTGGAGTTCCAGGGGAGCTGGGACAATCAGTTGGCTTTAGTGGAATTCGCCTATAACAACAGTTATCAGGCGAGTATAGGCATGCCTCCATACGAGGCATTGTATGGGAGGAAATGCCGGACACCATTGTGTTGGGACGAGGTCGGCGAGGCTAAGCTCGAGGGCACCGAGCTAGTCGAGATCACTAAAGAGAAGATAAAAGTTATACAAGATAGGCTCAAGGCTGCCCAAGACCGGCAGAAGAGCTATGCTGATAAACGTCGGAGGACGTTGGAGTTTGAGGTCGGTGATGAGGTACTTCTGAGGGTATCACCTTGGAAAGGGATCATCAGGTTCCTCAGCCGGGGTAAGCTTAACCCACGTTACATAGGTCCGTTCAAAATCCTTGAAAGGATTGGGATTGTAGCTTACCGACTTCAGTTGACTCCGGAGTTAGAAAAGATTCATAATGTATGTGCGGGACCCGTCACATATTCTTGAGAAACCACCGGTGGAGATCCGAGAAGACTTACACTATACGGTGCAGCCGGTGAAAATCATGGTTCGACAGGTAAAGAAGCTAAGGAGCAAAGAGGTACCGATGGTAAAAGTACTTTGGAAGAGTGATCGTGTCGAGGAGCAAACTTGGGAAGTGGAGACCCAGATGAGGGAACAATATCCATTTCTGTTTGACTAGACGCGTGGATTTCGGGGACGAAATCCCAAATAAGGGGGTAGAACTTGTAACACCGCCCCCGAGTATTTGTACTGTACCAAATTATGTATTGAACCTTGAGAAATGTATAAAAGCATTTTTACGTGATTGTAAATTTTTATCATTTCTATTACGTGAATAGTAAAATTCACGTGGGGCCCACACCGGATGTGGGGCCGCCCGATATTATCGGGACCACATATTATATTAATCTTGGACTAGATAATATGCATATGGTGGTGGATATCCAAATTGGGCCATGACAATGGCACAAGGTTGACCGGTTGGTCAAACGGGCCAAATTATCGGTATCGGGAAATTTATCAGATAACAGCCCAGGAAGGGATTTCGGAGACTTCTAAATTAAAGTTGGGGAATGCATATTGATTCTAAGGTCCAATAAGGATGGGGAACAAGTGTTATATTTTATGTGACCCGATAAAATAAAATATACTTAAAACAGTCCGGAAAATACAACTTTCGGGGCCGATTGTACACCCCGGGACACAAAGGGTTGACCTCCCACATGAGTGGGGGCCAACCCACGTTTTTAGGCTTTCAAATGAAGGAGGGAGCCTCATCATGGAGCTGGAATTGGCTGGGAAGTGATTGGGGGACAAATATGTAAGTTGAGGGGACCCTCCCCCCATATTATTTGGGGAATAAGCCAAAAGGGCTATCTCCCTCACCCCACAACTGATACATCTCGGCCACCCTACTCAAAGAGGAGAAAGAAGGTCTGCAAACTTCATTGTTATCATCCATACACGCACCAAGAACAAAGGAGGAAGAAGGAGGGGAAAAGAGAAGAGAAAAGTTGGTTTTGGAGAGGAAAACTTGTGTTTAGCAAGGTAAGGACTCCATTAATCCCATTTCTTGTTCTTTAATACTCTTTTATGATGAGTCGATCATATTTCACACCCTAGTAATGTTCTACACGTTGGGATGTGTAGAAAGAGGGGTTCGAAGGTGGTTCTAAGCCCGAGAACGGACTTAGAAGCCAAAGTAACCGGTTCGCCGGAAAATAACCTTTTGGAGGTTATTTGTATTACTATGGGTTTTGTGATGATAAAACCTTGTTAGTAACCTTCCTAAGGTATTCAAGGAACTTTCACGGAGTTGAAAGGGTCGCCGGAGTTGTCGCCGGAGTTCGTTGAAGTTCACCGGAGTTTCGCTGGAGCTAAATCGGGAAGGCTAGAACTTCATAAGCTTCATTAAGGTGAGAAGACGGCTTTATGCTTTATAACTTTTGCGTGAGGCATGAGATTACCTAAAGTAATCAAGAATATGTTTTGTGGAATGATTAAAGATAACCAAGTGTTTGCTTATGCCATGATTATACATAAAACATAGTTGAAAAGCATGTTATGTAGGTTTGGTGATAAAAAATGTGATAACTTCTTATGTGTGATGTTCCAGGGATCCAAAATGGTATTTTTGGATCAAGGACGTCAAGAAGAATAAGTGTATAAAATTTCACGTTAATCGGACTTCGCTTGAGCGGTCAAACGAGCGTTGACCGTCAAGTCAAAGGTAATACCCGACCGGGTATGGGTGAATACCCGACCGGGTTTTGATTAAAAATGGCTCCAGAAGCCACTGCCACACTAGACCCGAACGGGTATGGGTGTAGACCCGAACGGGTCTCAAGTAAAGTTGGCTCCAGGGGCTACTGCCTCACCCTACCCGACCGGGTAAGGTTGGATACCCGACCGGGTATTGGTTTATACTCAAAACGGGCAGTTTTGAGTAGGTTAACGTGGGTCGTTCGGGTGGGACCCGCCCACGTTGGATCCGAAGGATTGTTATATGACTATAGGGCTAGGCATTGTCCATAGTTAAAGGAATGAAAGGTTAGCCATATCCAGGTTAGGATTTGGTAGAGAATAGACTGGGGATTGAGTGCCCTTGGACGGTAAATGATCCAGAATACTCCAGGTGGGGTCGAGTACCCTTGGACGGTAAATGATCCAGAATACTCCAGGTGGGGTCGAGTACCCTTGGACGGTAAATGATCCAGAATACTCCAGGTGGGGTCGAGTACCCTTGGACGGTAAATGATCCAGAATACTCCAGGTGGGGCCGAGTACCCTTGGACGGTAAATGATCTTAAATACTCCAGGATGGGTTGAGTGCCTTGGACGGTAAATGATCCTAAAACACTCGGTAGTATGAATCGAAGGTAGACTATAGCTTGTGAGCTAGGTAACCGGGAAAGGAGTGAGAAAAGTCAGGTAAGAACTTTATCTCTAAAAGACTCTTTAAGGTAAATGACCTACAGGTTGAGTATTTTACGAGTATATATACAGTATGTATCATCGGGTGGATGAGAGACATCTATATATATGTATCACCCTAATTTTGGGCCTCGTGTCTGAAACATTAGTTATTCTTCATATAGCCTGCTTGTCACTAGTACTTCTATGGAGTACTGACCTCTCCGGGGGCCCTCACATTTTTCAGGTTGAGGCTAGAGTCCTACTACCTGCACCTTTGCCTAGGGTGATTGATCGAGAAGGAAGACGTGGTTCGTGCTTCCATTCTTATTTCAAATGTATAAACTGCTCATGGATTTTTTGAACAATGTTTTCATTAATACAGTTGGGGGCCTGCGTACCCGTGTTTGCCACGTGTGGCTAAGTATCAAACATATTATTATTTCCGCATTTGTTTGATTATGATATTGATGTTGATTGTATGTGTTTACTAATCGGTTTGGCAATTGAATCAATCGGACGCCTTGTACAATTCAATAGGGATGAACTGTTGTTATTCTTATCGGGTTGTACGGCGGTTGTCTACGTGGCTCGGATGCGGTCCGGGGCGTGACATCTTGTGCCGATACAAACTTTTTCATGTATTCTTCGAAAAACAACTTGACACTATTATCTTCTTCTTCATCTTCAAACATAGGTGAGTCTTCAACATCATCAGGAAGTGTATCATCCATCATATTCCCACCATCATTGTCTGACTCACTCACGTGATCATCCCTATTGGTCTCCTCAGATTGGTCTTCTACCAGATGGCTCCTTATGGTATTTATATCCTTCATCATGGCGGAAGTGCTCTGCATTATGGCTGAAGTGCTCTCAGTTATGGCTGAAGTGCTCTCCCTCATCATCTCTGTGTACTCAGACAGAATCTCTGAAAGTGTCTTCTTGAATTGATTATGTGGCTCATTATTCGGCAAAGATGTAGGAATGGCTGAACTTTTTGTGTTTGTATATTGTGGGGAGGAAGAAGTGGGGTATGCAGTTGCCCAGTAAGGATGGTCATACGGAGGTTTAACGGGGCAAAAATATATATGGTGACACCCTCCACAGTACGAACAAAAGTTATTCTTAGGCAAACAAGGTTGCGTGGTTGGAGGGTATGGATAAGGGCTTCGATAATTTTGTGGTGCAGGAGAGTAATTTTGATGAGGAGAATAATGAGGGGAATGATACTGGGAATGTTGCGTATTTGGAGGAGGGTAAGAATAGGAAGATGGAATATTTTGTGGTGGAGGAGAGTAATTTTGATGAGGAGAAAAATTTTGATGATGAAGGTAAGAAGGATATGGCGTGTATGGTGAATATTCCATGGAGGTTTGATGGCAAGGAATTCCTCCACGAAGTTGACTGAATGAGTTCATCTCATGCCTCTTTGAAAGTTACCTGAAAGGTTAGCACACAAAAATCCTACGAAGAACTAAAAAAAAACTAACTAAAAAAAATCTCGCTGAAATTAATTAACCCTTAAAACCGACACCGTCCCCGGCAACGGCGCCAAAAACTGATGTGAGTTTTCTCGCACTTAAAAAGATCGTAATATAGCGGTGAAAGTACGAGTATCGTCTCCACAGGGACGGTAAAAGGGAATTAAGAATTAACTAAAAATCAGCGATAAAGAATAAATAAAACAAATGCGGTCGTGCGAGATTTGGTTGCTTGAGAAAACTAAAATTGCAAATAAATGACTAAAAGTAAATAATTGGGTTCTTCTTAATTAACAACGAAGGGAACAGGGATTGATTCCGGGGTAATCAGATTTCTGGTAGATCAGGCTTAATTACATGAATTTAATTTAATTGAGCCTAGCTAATCAATACTAAGTTCTTACCGCTCTCGCGGCGTAGAGTACAATAATTTAGGGGACCAAGTTGATCTCTCATGCGACATGATCCTAAATTATTGCCACGACGAACAAGCTTACGGACCCTTAATCGTTACTAATCTCTTAGCGAACGATTAAGTGTGTGTGAATGTGTCCTAGAACAAATTAGATCTCTCTTAATTCATTCTACATGCGATTGTAATTCTAGTGGCCATCTAGGTTACAAAAGATATCAATTAAATTATTCAAACACAAATTAAACGGCATTCATGCAATTTACACCATCAAGAACCTAACCATACATCGTGATTAACCCCTTCATCAATTCCAAATCCCTAATTAAACTACTCACAATTCATAATTGAAGAATCAACAGAATTAGGAAGAATAGAATAAATTGTCATTAATTAAAAAGATGAACTTACAAATAATCCCAGGATCTTGGAAGAAAATAGCGTAAAAACGGTGTTAAATTCGTCCCTAGGCCTCTCCGTAATGTTGGCCCCCCTAAAAGGGTTAGGGAGGCCTTATTTATAGAAAATAGGGGAAAAATCACAATTCTGGTCGATGTGGGAAATTTCCGCGCGTAACTCGGGGCTACGCACTATCGTGCGTCCTTGGTTACGCACAATCGTGCGTAGCAGGCAGTAGCTCCTCCACGGTTTTGGCTCTTACGCACGATCGTGCGTCCCAGACGCACGGTCGTGCGTGCGTGTTCTTCATCCTTTTCTCTAGTCCGAATTTGACAAAACTTCCTTCATGAAAGTCTCTATCTACCCCCAACTTGCCGAATGTGATTTGAATCATCCCATCAAGAGATATGATCAAAACGGTGGAAGGTGTCATTATGAAATTGCAGCAGAGATCATCTGATTTTGTCATCTGTTTTCACCTTCTTGCTCTCCTATTCTCGTAATGGTGTCTTCATATGATTTGTAGCCCTTGAAGTTGTCTTTCATATACAACTTGAATCATGTCCATAAGTTGTTTCTACAAAGATATATTCTTGAATGATTGACCGAAGGTCATCCTGATCGTCGTTTTCAAGCTTCATTCATCTTCTTTTGATCCTGAAGCCAATCCTAGAGCTATTTTGTCATCAAATCTTCATCGTAAACTTCCCGCTGACCTCCATAGCTCTCAAATCAATCTCAAATGCTTTTCAACTCATCCCGATTTCTCCTCAAGCGCCAGTGCCGAACTCTAAAATCCTGATTTTGACTCCAAATGACACAAAACTCGAACCAACGCCCGGTAAACATAACTTGAGCTAAAATTGAGACTTGTAACACCTTAAAGCTAGGGAAAACCATCAAACCCGATCCCAACACGCATCAAATGCATGTCTAAATACGGACTTATCAGATTCCCCCACACTTAAGCTTTTGATTGTCCTCAAGCAAAATGAACAATGGGGCTTACGATAATCACCACACAGAATCAAAACAATTAGCATGCACATGTAGCTAAAGAGGTATTCACAGAACAGACAAACTAAACCAAGAAAATTCTTCCCTAAACTACATCTTTGTACTCTAGCTAAAATATTTGACAAAGTTATTCACAACATCCTTAAAGTAATGACAGCATACACAAATAAACTAGCTATTGATCAGAAGGACTTGTGATGGTAATGGTGAATGGTGATAAGCAGTCCCTTTCTTTTGAGAGATTGGAATATTCTAACAAAGACTCAATGCATTCAGAAACTTCAGGGCTATTCTTAGGATCAAGGAACTCAGTAGGCCACAATTTAGGAACAATCATGTAAACCTATGCAAAGAGTAGACATGGTGTACAACTAAGCTAAACCGTCTCGGCACATTTGTGCTTTGACGTATACTTGAAGTACGCGGAGGACTAAAGCTAATTTTGCTAAAGCCTCCAAGTTCATTAAATAAGTTTATTTTTCCTTGTCATGTTGGCACGAGAACGCCATTTCTTTCGAAAGATACCCAAGTCTCATCTTATTGTGCGAACACTTACGCTTTTTGACCGGGGCTCCCATTCTCTTTTTCGCAAGGTAAGAGGTGTAGCTATATTAATTTTCACCTTTCGGATTCTCACTAGACATTACCCCATTCTAATCTCGGCCTCACCAAGGAAAAAATAGCAATTAAAGTTCATTAATTCAAAGTGAATCCATGCCTACAATGCAATCCTCGAAAATATCAAATTCCTAAAAAGTGACTGCTCTTACCCCATTTTGGGGTATAGGAACAGTGACAAAAATGGCTCCTACACAAATTCCCTAAATTTAACAAATTAATCCCATAGTTCCCTAAATGCCAAGGCTAAGTCAAAAATATTCACGGGTAAGGAACACATGCCATTTGGTTATGGAGCTCAATTGATTGGGTATGGAACAAAATGGTCAGGCTCAAAGTGGCTTTTTCTAAAGAACTTTTTCAGGTGAGATGGAAAAATTATGAATTAAATGGGTGACTAATGCCTTCATCCTTTCAACAATTAGATTATATTGCAAGCAATTTAAGCCTAAACACTTCAAGGATGTCCTAAAAGCACAGTCAATCGTTAGCCAGCTCACAAAGACACAGTTTAAGGAAAAATTTTCAAAAATTTTGACATGAATTTCCTATGAATATACAACTAACACTTGCGCATGCTAACTCTAATAATCACATGTAACAACTACTCATGAAAGACATCAACTTAGTCAGTCCACGACCCATGTAATTGATGTCATATAGTTGAGCACAATTCACCTTCTTCAAATTACATGGGTTTGTCAGACCGAGTCCTTCTTTAGAATTATAGAAACGGGTGTCCTTGGGTTGGTTCAAGATGATTGTTTGTTCAGTTTTCCTTTTTGTAGCAGTTAAGTCTTTTAACTCTTTGATTTTACGATAGAGATCACTCTTTTGATTATTGAGAAAATCTTTATTAGCCCTTTCTGTGTTTCGTTTTGCCTCAGTTTCTTGCAATCTAAAAGTCAGATCAGCTACCTTGAGCGTTAGCTTTTCCGTTTCCGTAGTTATTTTCTTAACCACTTCTTTGGAATTATCCGATTGTATGCTCAGTGAGGTGGATTTATCCAGCTGCTTGAGTAGGACTTTGTGATTATTTGCTAACCTCTCCTCCAATTCCTTGATAATCCGTTGATTGGCAGATGTACTGACCTCAGGCTCATCAGAAACTTTAGCGCATTTGTTCTTACACAATGATGATGAGCTAGAGGTATTCATTGTTGATTGTTGAATGTTGACCGTAGAAGTGAGTTTGATTGAAGTTTCTGCAATTTTATGGACCTTGAAATGTAGCTTTGGTCCTTGAGAAAAATAGTCTTAACCTTGAGATTTTTTTTTTAATTTTTTTTTTAAATCTCAAGGTTGACTCTTGGAAGCTTTGATTGTAAGGTTGACCTTTGGTGTTGAAGATTTGAGCTCAAAAATTGAAATGAGCTCAAAATTAGCTCTTGAAATGGGAGTTTTAAAAAAATGTACTTACTCAAGTGTAGGGAGAAAAGGAATCTTTTTAGCAATCTCACACCTAAACTCCTTGGGAACTTTTGAGCATATAATAGGAACCACTCCTTCCTTAGAAGTAAAAGGTGAAGGAGAAGAGGGGAGCTCTCGCGCACATGGGATTTCGGCTTTCAGTTCAAAATCGAAAATTCGC